CGAGCTAAGTAGCAGTTCAGAAGAAAAGGGCCTGGGGGGAGCCGTGCGCTCTGTGGGGCGGTGACGGGAGGAGGGGCTGAGGGGGGCCGTGCGCTCTGTGGGGCGGTGACGGGAGGTGGGGCTGAGGGGGGCCGTGCGCTGAGAGCCCCCTGCCTGTACTGCGTGATGGCCACTGGGCCCAGCGGTTGCCATGGCAATGCCCACGGGAGCTGAGGCAATCGTCCCCGTGCACTAGTGAAGTGCCGATCCAGCCGTGGTCGGCGTTTGCATCTCACCGGTTAGGGGTCGACCCCCTCCTGCCCGACCCCCGTTGGGCTCTTGCCCCCCTGCCAAAGAGAGCAGCCCGTCGCGGGTGGCCCTGCTTTGGGTGGGGGTGAGTAACTCTGGCGGGAGGCCGTGGCGTGTCCAGCCCCGCATTTCCAACGTGTGAGTTGGCTGTGTGGTGCCACGTTCAGCGTGCCACGATTTCAGCCAGTGCTTCTGTTTGCACCCGGCGGGGGAGGCGTTACGGCGGGAACACGAGGGGTTCGCTGCCGGCTCGTCTCACGAAAAACCCTCTTTCTGTTTCCTTGCAGCACTGGCTGGAGTTTACAAAGTCTGTTGTCAAGCAGATGAGAGGTAAGTATTGCCTGTGCTGGCATGGCGCTGGCCTGCGGAGACCACGCGTGCCCCCCTCGTGTTACAAACGTGTCCTGCTGACTCAGCCAGGTGCCGCGTCCGCCTTCTCCCCCCGAGGAGGAACCCTGCTGAGCAGTGCCTCGGGGCGCCCCCGCCAATGGAAGCAGAGTCATTCTCTCGGGGGCCAATGTCCGTTCAGCCGCCCCGCCTGTGCCGGTGCAAGCGTGTCCGTTTGCACATGCCACATCAGGCCTGGTGTGCAGCACGTGTGTAACTAGAGGGACTGATGGCCCGGGGAGTAGTGTTCAAGCCCACCGGTGCTACACGCCCCCAGGGCTTTTCCTGCCCACCCAGCAGCTACGTGCAGACCCTGTGGGCGCTGCTGTGTGGTCCTGTGAAAATCTCCCTTGGCAATGGCCAGATCTCCGCCAGCCTGTCCCTCTGCCCCATTGCAGGAGGAGCCAGGGACGTTACGGGGGAGAAGCCCCATCCCCTCCCGGTCCTTCTCCATTGTCTTGGCACAATGACTGCTGTGGGGGTGGGGAAACACCTCTCCTTCCTCTCTCCCCCTCCCCCGTGGTTGGGAGGACCAGTTCCCGGCGGGGGGGCGGGGGTGCTGTGTTTGCGTCCGTAGGGATGGTTGGGCAGAGGGAAACCGACCATGAGGATTCCAAGCAGCACCCTCCGTAAACTCTCAGGTGCACGCTGGGCGCCGGGTTGTGATTTACACTGCAGGCCTTGGCAGAGCATGGTGGGCCTAGACGGGCTGGGGCCTTTCCCGCTGGGTTTATGACAAAGGGGGGCGTGGGGCCCATTCTTTCCCTTGCTGCAGGGGGAGTCGCGATCACAACCACCCTGCTCTGTCTGATTTGGGGGAAGAGCCAGGCCCGACCCTGTTGGGATAGTGCTGTTCTGGGGCTCAGCACCGAGGGGGCCGGGTGTAGTGACTGCCGGGGGCGCCGTTCCGGTGTAACACTGTCATTTCGCACCGCAGCCCAGCCTCCGTTCACCATGTGTTTTCGGGTGAAGTTTTATCCCACCGACCCTGCTGCTCTGAAAGAGGAAATAACCAGGTAAGACCGAAGTCGCCCTCAGACCTGCACCAGCAGCCATTGCGTGGGGTGGGCTCTCGGTGGTGTTAACGGTCAGGCGCACTCGCATCCCCACGGCTCGGAACTTTACAGCCCCAACTGTGGCATGCCAGATTGCCTGCACGGCACGGGGGCTCGGAGCGTGAGTGTCGACAGGCGCACGACAGTCCTCTCCTGGGGCACTGTAAGGCTCCTGGGGTATGTCTACACTATCCCGCTAGTTCAAACTAGCAGGGTAATGTAGGCATACCGCACTTGCAAATGAAGCCCGGGATTTGAATTTCCCGGGCTTCATTTGCATAAGCGGGGAGCCGCCATTTTTAAAACCCCACTGGTTCGAACCCCGTGCAGCGCGGCTACACGGGGCTCGAACTAGGTAGTTCGGACTAGGTTCCTATTCCGAACTACCGGTACACCTCGTTCCATTATTTTTGTTGCCCTCCGCTGGACTCTCTCTGATTTGTCCACCTCCCTTCTGCAGTGGGGGGCCCAGAACTGGACACAATTCTCCAGATGTGGCCTCCCCAGAGCCGAATAAAGGGGAATAATCACTTCTCTGGATCTGCTGGCCATGCTCTGCCTAACGCAGCCCAATACACCATTCGCCTTCTTGGCTACCAGGGCGCCCTGGTGACTCATTTTATTGACTTGCAGAGTCATCCTGTCACCACTGATGTTTATCAGCTGTTGATTTAAGCCCTGCTCTCTACAACTTCCGCGCCAGTCTGTTAGGAAGATGAGTTGCCGGAACAGAGCACTTAAGAGCGTGTCACAATTATAGCAGGCGCCCGAGGGTCTGTCTACACTGCTTTGTAAATGTGGGCTGTGGGAGCTGGACTCGTGGACTCAGTGTTTACAAGGCTGTGCTTGAGCATGCAGGCTGCACTGCAAACCTGGGCTTACGCTTGCTGGGTCTGGCTCTCTCGGCCATGCTAAGATATCCACGCTGCACTGCTCAGGCTCCTGCATTTGGTTCTGTGGCTGGAGGTGCCTCTGTGCTGCACAATAGAAGGGATTTCCAGCAGGACTCTGGCTCTGATCTAGCCGCTCACAGGGTCCTCGAGCCTGGATCCTCAGCACTTGCTGATCTGGATTAGGCTGTCTTGCGTGTGGGCAGAATCATGGAGTCACAGAATGCTAGAACTGGCAGGGACCTCGAGAGGTCATCGAGTCCAGTCCCCTGCCCTCACGGCAGGACCAAGCACCATCTAGACCATCCCTGACAGGTGTGTGTCCAACCTGCTCTGAAATATCTCCAGGGATGGGGATTCCACAACCCCCCTGGGCAATTTATTCCAGTGTTTCACCACCCTGGCAGTTAGGGAAGTTTTTCCTGATGTCCAACCTAAACCTCCCTGGCTGCAGTTTAAGCCCATTGCTTCTTGTCCTGTCCTCAGAGGCCAAGGAAAAGAATTTTTCTCCTTCCTCCTTGTGACAGCCTTTTAGATACTTGAAAACTGTTCTCACGTCCCCTCTCAGTCTTCTCCTTTCCAAACTAAACAAGCCCAATTCCTTCAGCCTTCCCTCAGAGCTCATGTTCTCTAGACCTTTCATCTTTTGTGTTGCCCCAGGAAGTGGAAGTTAGGCTCAGGCTAGGAACAGAACCTGTGACGGACCAGGCCGTGTCAGGGCACAGCTGAGGGCGTCTGCTCAGGGCGAATTGCTCAAATCCGGGGCTCCTTACAGCCCCCCAGACTGGTAACCTCTCCAAACAGGCCACAAACCAGTCCCACAGAGCGCTTCAGCTGCCTGCCTGAAGCCTCACGAGCAAGACCCCTCCGACACCCCAGCAATATCCGTGCCCCAGATGGCCCCGGGCCTCATACACAGGTGGGGGGTCCTAGCACCCAATCCCACCTACCCCGAACAAGTTCTGTCCGGTTCCAAGGAACCAGCCACAGATC